CTTCTTCTTCTTCTTCTTCTTCTTCTTCTTCTTCTTCTTCTTCTTCTCCTTCTTCTTCTTCTCCTTCTTCTCCTTCTTCTGTTACTGTGCCCCCATTGCATGATCTCTCACTTGATAGTTTCTTTCTCTCAGCTACACCATTCTTGGGAGGACAAGCTCTCCTTCTTCCTCAGAGTATTCAGCTTCCTCTTTTTTAGAGAGAGCCTCAAATCTGGGGGCGGGGGAAGGGTTGCTATGTATGTGTATGTGTGTGTGTGTGTGTGTGTGTGTGTGTGTGTGTACTAATTGTGTAGTTGCTATTTCCCTTCCTCTGTGTAAAATTCTTTCCTTCTTTATTATCTTGACAAAGGTCAAATCCCTCTTCCTCTACCCTAGAACACATTTTTCTTCCCACTAAACCCTGCACGAGTCACACAGGAGGGCCAGGCAGGGATGGGATACCCACATGTATGAGGTAAGAGGTCGTTTGAGTATTTGAGTACAGAGCATTGGATGTCCTGGAAAATGATTCTCTGTACGTCTGAGGCAGGTGGACAGCTCTCAGCAGCACTGAGTCCTAGACTAAGACACACCAAGTGCAGCTGTTGCACTTGTAGGGGGCGTTACATCCCATGGAGCATGCTCTGGCTCGCTTCCCTAGAAACTTCCAGGTACAAGTTGGCTCAGTGCTCAGCACTATGAGAAGACAAAACAATTCCTTTATTATCCATGAAGTGGACTTGTAGAAGGGAGTGATTCTACCCTCTTTCTCTGTTTTCTTCCCCATCTGAGGTAGGACTATTTGAACCTCTCCCTCAAGGTGTGGTCCTCTTGCCACCTCCCACACAACTCAGCAGCATTTTTGGTTGTAAGTCCAGGACAGTTAAAACATATTGTCTGGCCTAAGTAAGCCTGAATCTGGGCCTGGGGATGCCTTTCTTGTTTTATTTTTTCCCTAAGTGTACATGACTGAGCAGCAATCCTGAGATGGATATTTCCAGGCTTGGAAGCAACCTTGTGAATTCAAGAGTTCCAGAGATCCAGGGTTACTCAGTCAGTGCTGACCGAAACAGGAAGCATGTTCATGCAAAAGATAACCAGAGGGGAGGAAGGGCCCCTTAGCTCAGCTTGCCAGAAGACATGGACATGGAGAGAGTTGTTTGGACAGTGCAGAGCCAGGGTGAGATGAGATGCCAATTCAGCAGTCCCACAAATTGTTTTTCACATCCTGATATTTAAGTATCAGCCTCCCTGGAGACTAGAGTAATGCATACGTTACGGTTACTGCTTATTAAAGTCCTTTGTTAAGCATTTAGTTCATGTGGAAGAAATACATAGCTGTTCTATACCCATTTTATATTGTTCCTTACGTACCCTGCTACTTCTCATTATGGAAAGATACTGGGCACAAGCCCAAAATCTAGGTTTTGAGTAATTTTCCCCAAGGCTCTGGGGGAAGAGTGTAAAGAGCCAAGAAAAAATTGAGCCAAAGGAGCCTCAAAGGAACAGAGAGGACAAGAGCCCCATCCCCTCTGGACGCAGCAGCACATCTTGCTGCCACATGGTCAGGACAGGCAATTGGGTATGACCGAGTTACATAATTTCTTGGGGAATGCAGATGTTGAAACTGGAGGAAAGTTGCATGGAATGCCAGGCAAGTCTAGATTGTTCTAGCACCTTAAAGAAACAAGATAGAAACACAGTGGTTTAATTGCTGTTTTGGGTCCATTTGAGACTGACTGCTTCAGAGGAAAATGATAACATTTTTGTTTTTATCTTTAGCCTAACATGCCCTAAAATCTTAGCGCTGCTTCCCTGATGGTTTAGCAGACTTACCTCGATGTAGAAAACCCATCACCAGAGGGAGTCCTTGAGACACTGTCAAGTCACCAAAAAAAAAAAGAAAGAAAGAAAGAAAAACACCATCACAACAACAACAACAACAAAACAAAACCCAAAACGAAACATTCAATCACTATGAAAAACAAAGCCCAGAAACAGAAGCTATTCTGGCATTTTCAGTATTCTGGTAGGCCAGTGGAGAAGATGATCCTGGCCAAGGTGGTGCCATAGAGTAACCATTTCACACTGTGGAGCCAGCTGAACGGCCGTAGGTGGAAGAAATGCAATATACACAAAAATTCAATACCGTCATCGTCATGAATATGAGCAAACACTTTGACACCGTCAGCTTATAGGATCTATGCAAACATTTTTTACAAATGAGAATATTAGGAGAAATGAATCAGCCCCCTTCCAACACAATGTGGCACATTGTCTGATCCGAGAACTTGTGTGTGAATCCCAAGTCAGTCAAGTGCCTACTATGTGCCAGGCTACATGCTAAGCATTTGGGATACAAAGAAAGGCCAAAAACAGTCTCTGCCCTGGATGAGCTCACAATGCAGTTGGTGGGGTGGGGGGGAGGGTAGCGTGCAAATAACTATTTGCAAATAACCCCTCCTGGCTATTATGTTCAACAAGCTATATCCAGGATAAATAGGAGTTAATCATCAGAGCGAGGGCAGGTGGGCCTTGAAGGTAGCCAGGAAGTGAAGATGAGGAGAGAGAGTATTCCAGGTGAAGGAAATAGCCAGTGACAATGCCTGGAGCCAGGAGATGGAATGTCTTGTTCAAGGAATGGCAAAGAAGTAAGTGTCACTACATCCAAGTGACAGGGAACAAGGTATAAGAAGACTAAGGTGGGGTAGGTCATGAAAGGCTTTGAATGTCAAACTGAAGCTTTATGTTTGATCCTAGAGGTGATTGGAAACCACTGGAGTTTACTGAGTACTGCAGGTGACATGGTCGGACCTGTGCTATAGGAAAATCGTTTGGTGACTGAATGGAAGTTGGATTAGAGTGGGTAGAGACTTGAGGCAGGTAGACCCAGCAGCCAGATCCTGCAACAGTCCAGGCCTGCAGCAACAGAGAAGAGAAAGGGACATGTTCTATAGAAGTTACAGAGGTAAAAGCAATAGGCCTTGGAAACAAATAGCCTTCTTACCAAGGCTAATCCCTCTCTCCCTGTTCAAGTTAAACGGGTTCCATCCCATCTCCTCCAACAGATTGCCCCCTCTGTCATCCCCCCTCTATCATTTATTTTCAATCCCTCCCTATATACTGGTTCATTCCCTTCTGCCAACAAACAGGCCCATATCTCCCCCATCCTGAAAAAACCCTCACTTGATCCTTCCATCCCAGCTAACTATCCTCCTATATCTTTTCTGCCTCTTCTAGCTAAACTCTTCAAAAAGGCCATCTATAATAGGTGCCTTCACCAGATCAATTTTTTCTTCTCTCTCCTGTATTTAGCCTGCTTTGTGTATATTTGTTTGCATGTCGTCTTCCCTGTTAGATTGTAAGCTGCTCAAGGACAGGGGCTGTCTTTTGCCTCTTTTTGTATCCCCAGTGCCTGACACATAGTAGGCACTTAATAAGTGTTCATTGATTAGATCATCAGGGGGTCAATCTGCTGGAGAAGGTAGAACGGAATGGGGTCACTTGTGCATGGAGATGAAATAAAATCATTTTGTGCTTTAGAGAAGTTGACCTCAATAAGGATAAAGGCCACATCATCATGTGAGACGGGTGGAGTAGATAATGGCAGAGGCATGTGGGTGATGTGAGATAGGGCAGGAAGAAGAGGGAGCTCTCAGTAAGTGGCTTTGATATTTTTCAGCAAAATATGAAGCAAAGTTCTCATCTGAAAAAGTTCGGGGAGGGGGAGCCATGGAAGATTTGAAGAGGGATGAAAAAGGTCGGAAGAGCCACTGTGGAGAGTGGGATGGTAAGTTGATGTGCGAGGTATAGAAGTATTGCCTAGCAGCAGTGAGGGCCCAGTTGAGATTAAGCAACATAAATTTGTAATGGATCCACTTAGGATGGTTTTGTCCACTTTCATTCAGCAGCACATCTATAGGAATCAAGGGAGTAGATGGTGGGAGTGATCTTGGCAGGGCACAATTAGCAGCGTGATAAGGGGGCAGGGGACTCAAGGGAAGAGGACATGTGAAGATTTGGAATGATTCACCTAGAAGTCAAGGTGGGGAGAGCAGGAAGGTGATGGTCTGGGAGAGAAGCATGATGCAAGACTTTACCTTCTCAACTCACACTTAGTTGCCACTCCTCTCTGATTGGAGGGATGGAGAATTAAACTACTCCCAAAGCCTTCCTTTATAGAGGGCTCACAACCTTTATGGTAACTCCATTTTCCATCACCAGCTGTGCTTGGCTTCAACTCCATGGACCCCTTTGGTGGCCACGCCCCTTCCTTCCTTTTCAGCTACTTTTTGAGTGTTGTCTTTCCCCATTAGATTGCAAGCACCTTGAGGGCAGTGACTGTTTCTTCTTTACAGTGTCTTGCCTTGCACAATAATAGGCATTTAATAGATGGTTTTAAAATTGAATTGAAGAGGTGGCCCCCAAGCTGGGCCCTAATAGGTAGGAAGGTAATCTATTACAAGACCCAGGGGTGAGAGATGGAATGTCAAGTTGAGAGCACAACCAGTATGGATGATAGAGTTCTCATTCTGACCATGTTACTCTCCTGCTCAGAAATCACCACTTATTCTTCCTTTGTGCCTCTAGGACAAAAAAAAAAAACAGAAAGTTTTCAGTGTGATAGTTAATATCTTCTGCAATCTGGTTCCTATCTCCCTTTCCAGCCCCATTTCTTATTATTCCCCCATCATGCACAGTCCCCACAGTAAGGTTCACAAGACTATCACTAAACACTTTGGAATGCACCCTCTCCTTACTTCTAATTCTTAGAATATTTCTTCAAGACTCAGGTTAAGTGTCACCTACTCCATGGAGCCATCCATGATTTTCCTAGTTGTTAGCTCTCTGTTCCAATTCCACCACAACACTCAGTTGAATCATGTGATGTCCTTATCCGCAGGAATTGTTAGGTGGTCATGGAAAGATATTTGGCAGAGTTACTGGCTTTTGTTTAAATTCCAGTTTATGAGATTAGATTATTAAATCTTCCTGAAAAATAGACTCACTTAGGCAAACATGAACTGTGAATTGATCTAGCCAATTTGAAAAGCAGTTTGGAACTCTGTCCAAAAAGTGACTAAATTGCAGATATCCTTGGGCCGAGCTATACCACAATGAGGCCAACATCCCAAAGAGAACAAAGAAAGAAGAGAAGGACCTATGTGTGTAAAAATATTTATAGTAGCTCTTTTGGTAATGACTGCAAATTGGAAAATAAGGGGGTTTCTTACTGGGGAATGGCTGACATGTGAATGTAATGAAATATTATTGTGCCATCAGAAAGAACACTTCAGAGAAAACTTGGAGGACATCTATGCACTGATGCAGAGCAAAGTGAGCGAAACTAGCAGAACCATTTAAACAATGATAGTAATATTATAGAGTAAAATAACTTTGAAAGACTTGAACTCTGCTCAATGCAAATAGCGAGTCCAGAAGACAGAAGATTAAAAGACAAAACAAAACACCACTCACCTCTTGTCAGAGAGGTGATGAACTTAAAATGTAGAGAGAGACATACATTTTCAGTCACATATAGACAGTGTAGAAATTTGTTTTGCTGGACATGCAAGTTTATGATAAGGGTTTATTTTTGGTTTTGTTTTTATTCAGTGTGGTAAGTAGGGACAGTTTTTAAGTGTATATATAAATTGAGAGAAAAATAGATAAATTTGGGGCAGCTAGGTGACACAGTGGATAGAGCTCTGGCCCTGGAGTCAGGAGGACCTGAGTTCAAATCCGACCTCAGACAGTTGACGCTTACTAGCTGTGTGACCTTGGGCAAGTCACTTAACCCTGATTGCCTCACCAAAAAGAAAAAAAATAGATAAATTAATAGAAAAGAAAATAAATCACTTGGTCTTATGTGGATAAAAACCCAAGACTAAGTAGTATCCTACAAACTATACTCCTTTCATCACTCATGAGAGGTAGCATGAGGCATCCCAGGTTTGGGGTCAGAGTTCTAACACAAGCCATGACACTTCCTAGTTGTGGGATCATATACTAGTTGATTAACCTTAATTTCTTCACTTGTGAAATGAGAATAAACATAGTGCAATAATGTTATTTCACATAAGTAATTGCCTGACAGAAAGGTGATGGAATCAAGGCGTAGAATAAGATATTTTTGGACATGGCAAATGTGGGAATATATTTTGTTTGACTATGTGTATTTCTTACAATGGTTTTGTTTTTCTTTCTTCTTTTTTTTCCAGTGAAGGTTTGGGAGGAGTTGTAATAAGGAAGGAAGGAAGGAAGGAAGGAAGGAAGGAAGGAAGGAGGGGAGGGAGGGAGGGAGAAGAAAAGAAAGAAAAGAGGGCCATTAAAGCATTTTTCATTTTAAATGTACAGAAGGAAATATAGAAAGAAACAGGCAAGCAAAACAACTTTGAAAGTTACATGCTGAATTTATTATATGCTTAAAGGAAAAGCTAGTTGTATGTAATAGAGATTGGTACTTTCATATATAATTTTTTTTCTGTTCTATTTTGTAGATAGAAATTCTTACCTTGGTATTTAAGTGTGGAATGATTATGATAGTCACTCTGATGGGGTATGGGCCCAAGCTAAGACCTTCACCCCTCACCTCAAAAAGAAGGCTTGGGTTGAATTTTTTCAGGCAGGACCCACATGTCATGATTTTGGGATCCCAGCACCCCCTAGCATGTAAACCTCAACAACTCCACATGGGCAATAAATTGCCCCACAGTGGTATTATAAGGAAAGGAAATCATAAAAACCTATGCAAATGTGGCTCATTATTCATATCCTTCTATAGCTACAAGATTTATTTATGTAAATGGCAGAAACCTATGACTTGAAATACCAAAATGTCTATTTTTTCCATCACATCTTGGTATTTCAAATTGTTT